ATCAACTATAAATTTTTATTTYAGTTTGTAACGTTTTTTTGTCGAAATTAGTGCCAAATTCACATAAAACACGAAAAACAAATTTCCATGCTTTTTATATTAATTTAGAACTGTACTAACAATAATATTAGAGACCTTTAGCAAGACGTTCTTAATAGTCCCGCAAACCTCAAACTGCAGTTCAACGTCAGGCGTTTTCCTTCAAACTTTCGACATTTATCAAAGCATCATAACGAAATTGTCATTGGAAGAGTGGCCATATTAAATTTCATTGATGCCGAGTGTTTCTCCGTGTTTGCGGGCGTTTTTCGGGGTCTCATTCCTAGCGGTCGGTGGTTAGCGGTGAACACGATGCTAAGGGTATCTATTTTTACTTTTGTTTCCCTCGCGCGGAAAAAAATATCCACACACCTAAGTAGAGTCGTGAACCTTCAAATGCAAACGACCTCAGACTGGGCTGATCTAAGTCAGGGCATGGCAGGGGCGAATCCAGGAATTTTAGAAGGGGGTGACTATTAGAAAGGTTTTACCGGGAATTCGGGGAAAAGGGGGGTGACTAGTACCCCTATTACCACCCTGGATCCGCCCCTTCATGGCTACTAACTCACAGATCAAAACCTAAAACAACCTCTGGGCTGATCTAAGTCAGGGCACAGCTAACTCACAGATCAAGCCCTGAAACGACCTCTGGGCTGATCTAAGTCAGGGCATGACTAACTCACAGATCAAACCCTGAAACAACCTCTGGGCTGATCTAAGTCAGGGAATGACTAACTCACAGATCCAACCCTGAAACAACTGAAACATCTAAGTCATGCAGGGCATGGCTAACTCACAGATCAATCCAAATCAAGTGACTGTATTCCCACGAGATGCTACCGATATGCAACCCTTGATTGCCAAGTGACATGCCTCACTATTGCATTATTAATGTTTCTCAACACGAAATAGTTTTTTGTACTCCAAGCGACTTTATTCATCGCGCTTAAAAACAATTTTCGAGCAAAGGCAAAATAAACTAGTTTTTCTTTTTAATGCAGCTGGTTTGCGTGTAAGAAAACTATTATGAGAGACCTTAAATTCCATGATTGTCCCTGTGTTGCGTGACATTACCGTAACTGTCACGATGACGAATAATCATCAAATACTTAGGGTCAAACTACAATCGACTTGCTCGCATTACAATGCACACAATGGATTTTTTGGTTATCTTGCAATTGCTCTTGGTCAGTACCATTAGTACCGCACAATCAAACATTGTAATCTTTCTAGTGGATGACCTTGGCATAGGAGATATCGGGTGCTTTGGAAATGACACTATTAAGACACCTAATATTGATAAACTGGCTAGAGAAGGGGCKAGACTGACTCATAATTTAGCTCCTGAATCCGTGTGTACTCCGAGTCGGGCAGCATTTCTAACGGGTCGGTATGCAATCAGGAGTGGTTTGGCCGCTAATCCTGATAGAACCAGGATGTTCCTGTTTTTGTCCGTACCTGGTGGGCTGCCACAGAATGAGACAACGTTTGCTGAGGTGCTGCAAGATGCTGGCTATGCTACTGGTAATCTTACATTCATATTATAGTTCGTCAATCCTTAATATTAACATTCCCCGAAACAATCATTAGGTTGATAAAAGTCAGGGCTTGGCTAACTCACAGGTCGAATTGGAATTTAGCTTGTTAGTTTTTGCAGAGGAAGGAAAACCAGAGAAAAAGCCTTCTCCTACGCAGTCTCCAGTGTCGTCACGCAACGCTCACTCCCCTACTTAGGGAGAGAAACAACAACCTCTACTCACATGTGACGCCGAATCCAGAAATTGAACTCGAGACCCCAGAGGGTAGAAATGGAGTACTACCTGATTTTGATAAACTAAATTTGAATTCCATCTGTGAATTTGCCATGCCCTGACTTAGATCAGCCCCGAGGTTGTTTCAGGGTTCTATCTGTGAGTTAGACATGCCCTGACTTAGATCAGCCCCGAGGTTGTTTCAGGGTTTGATCTGTGAGTTAGCCAGTCCTGACTTAGATCAGCCCCGAGGTTGTTTTAGGGTTTGATCTGTGAGTTAGCCATGCCCTGACTTAGATCAGCCCAGAGGTTGTTTCAGGGTTTTATCTGTGAGTTAGCCATGTCCTGACTTAGATCAGCCCAGAGGTCGTTTCAGGGTTTGATTTGTGAGTTAGCCATGCCCTGACTTAGATCAGCCCAGAGGTTGTTTCAGGGTTCCATCTGTGAGTTAGTCGTGCCCTGACTTTGGTCAGCCCATACGTCGAGGGATGAGTAAAGATCCAATAATATAAGAAAACTGAATAAGATCAATAAATACAATATATAATGCCAAGCTCACTCACCATTAGAGCTGTACAACTTGTTTTGTCTTGCATCTCCACAACTTTTCCTTTATCATCATCCCCCTAATGTTCTAGTCACAGCTCCCGTCTTTTCTTTACTGGTATTAATTATTTCCAACAGGATTGGTAGGCAAGTGGCACTTGGGGTTGAACCTCCACACTTCAGACGACTATCACTTTCATCCAATGCGTCAAGGATTCCAACACTTCTACGGTCTTCCCCTTACCAACGTACGCGAATGCAAGGCTGGGCACTTCATTTTTGAACTAATTTTCCCAAACCTCCAGCGGAATTTGTGCTATACATTAATCTTAGTTGGASTCTCTGCTGTCGTGTGTTGTCTTGGAGGTCTGTTATCCAAGCGTTCGGCAGTCTTTATAATTATTCTATGTGTATCTATTTATGGAAGTTTTTTATTCGCGCTGAAGTTGAGAAGACACTTTGTTTGTTTCTTGATGCGCGACTATGAAGTAGTCGAACAGCCAGTAGTCTTTGAAAACCTAACATTAAGGCTGACTCATGATGCTGTTCAGTTCGTCGAAGACCACAAATCAAAGCCTTTTCTCCTATTCATGTCGTATGTCAAAGTCCACACTTCGTTATTCACCAGTAAGAGATTTGAAGGTCACAGCGTGCACGGGCAGTACGGTGACAACGTGGAAGAGATGGATTGGAGCGTCGGTGAGATTATGAATGCACTGGAGAGGCTTGGCGTGAAGAATGACACCTTCGTGTACTTTACGTCCGACCATGGGCCACATTTAGAGGAGAGCAGCGGAGGGGAATACCATGGTGGATGGAAGGGCATTTATAAAGGAGGTGAGTGGCTTACAGTCATGACTGTTCCCCTTGGCCCTTAGAAAGACCCGTAGATGCAAATCATCAGGCCAGAGGTACCCCTATAGTAGTAAGGGTTGGACGTTCAAACAATGCGTGCAATCCAGAGTTTTAACTYAAGTATAGCATTGTTGAGTTACTGCTTTCCAAGCTACAGTATTGTCTCTTGCCCCATGCAAGGAGCACCACGGGGCACCTAAAAAAGTGGAAGGGTGGCTTAGACTTGAAGGTATATAGAGTAGATTAGTATGCATAAGACTAAAAAAGCGCGAAGGGGACTGAAATTTAGGCAAAAAGTGGGGTGTGTCTTTACAGGCCACATAAAGGAAATATAGCCGATTTTGAATTCAGGTAACACTAATAATAGTCCTCTTCACTGTTCCCTGCGCCATCTTGAAAAGTAGCCGTGCCCCGTCACTGTTCCTTGCGCTATCTTGAAAGGTAACTGAGCCTGTGCATCAAAATTAGACCTTGCAATGATAGATTCCTTTTTTTAACACCTTGTTAACAGGTCCCTATCATTGCAAGCTCACTGCCATTCTCGCTTCAATACACAGGCTCAGTTACCTTTCAAGATGATGCAGGGAACTGTGAAGGGGACTGTTTTTAGATAAAGGGGTGTGCAGCATCCGCTTTCATTGGTAGCAAAGAAATGTTGAAGTTCAACATTAGATGTTTTAATGTTCCCTCCTAGTAGAGTCTCCGTCATTGGTGATATTTGGCAAGAATTGCCAACGAGGGAGACTCTGCTAGCAGAGAAATGTAGTTAGRATCTTTTTTTCATAGTTCAGACTTAGGCTCAGCACTAATTTTCTGATTGCTTCTAAATCGCAGGAAAGGGTCAGAGTTGGGAAGGAGGAATCAGAGTACCAACCATTGTCTCATGGCCTTCTCACATCCCACCTGGAATCAATATTACTGAACCGACTAACAGCTTTGACATCTTTCCAACAATCATTGACATCACAGGGTCATCAGTCCCTCAGGACCGAATAATTGATGGCAAAAATGTTATGCCTCTGCTACTACGACAGGAGAAATACTCCCCRCATGAGTTTATGTTTCATTACTGCGCTAAGGAGGTCCATGCCGTGCGATACAGACCAAGGCATGGTGAGACAACATGGAAGGCTCATTTCACAACTCCGAAATGGATTGAAGGAACTGAAGGCTGCAATGGTATGTGCCATGATTGTTACAACCATGGCATCATCCGTCATRAAACTCCCTTAYTTTTTGACATCACCTCAGATCCCTCAGAGAGCCACCCCTTGAATCCACAGGCAACCCAGTACAGGGATGTTATGGAGAAGATCATAGCTGCTGTGAAGGAGCATCAGGATCATGTTGATGATGTACCAAACCAACTTGATTTGAATACATTTTGGTATCTTTCACGGATGCAGCCTTGCTGTAACTACCCATTTTGTTCTTGCATTGAGAATACAAYACAAACTAACCCTTTGACTACTAGAGGCTAAAAGGGTCCAACACAGGCTCTTCCTGGAACATAATTAGGGTGTTTTTATTTCTCAATATYAAAATGAAAAACATTTGCTCAGTAGATATTGAGGCCTTATAACACACATCAAAGCAGTTGATAGAATCCCACTTGTTTCAATACATAGAAATGTCCTAGGGGACGGGTAATTGAAAAACAAAAATGTCTTTGCGCTGGCTGCTTTTGGCCGCTCTAGTAGTGAAAGGGTTAACCTATAGAGCTTACAAATTTATGCAAATTCTATTTTTTAAATACTACTCAATCGTGATTGACTAATTCGTATGAAAATTTTTCTGGGTGGCCTTGGTTGGGATTGATAAATAATATTATTAATATTGTGGATATTCGGTATAATGTTTTCCATTTCAAACCATGTGTCATTCCCTAGAATAGTATTTCTTYGTTTAATGGTTGCATATGAGAAGACATATGAATATGGATACACTTCAAACGAAGAATCTTATTCTCAAAAGAAAATGACGCATATGGTCTGAAATGAAACATTATGCACAACCTAAAGAGATCTAGTGGATCCATAACTTTTAGTTTTTAGAAATTGTGCATGTGATAGATTTATTATATAAGTTTATTGAGATTTGGGGTGAGTTAAAGAAAAAATTACTTTTGAATGAAAACTTTACAATATTTATATCAATAATCCACTTTAATTTAGAATAAAACAACAATTGAAGTTCATTAGTTCATTTTAAAATTATACTTATAAACTATATTATTATTTAATAAAATTTAATGGCATATAATAATTTCATATTTTCCCCATTTTCCCATTTCTATACGTCCAGTTAGATAAACATAACTTTGACTTTCCTCTGGCAAACAATAGATAAATGTTACTTGATGACATGTACAATATATTACAGACATAGTCATCATAATATATTAAATATTTTAGAATAATTTGTTCATTTTGGTATTGCTGGGTTTCACTTGACATGGTCTTATGTGTCAGAATGGTCATCAGTTGAGTTCCTTTTGCTTTTCAATAGATATTTTCCTCCTGGCTGACAGCACATGGTGGTCTGTGTTCGACCACCATTTGGAGCAGATATTGAGATTCAAAGCCTTTTATCAGATGATCGAACCCCYGCAATTTGTGATATTTTAAATTTCTACAGTCAAGCAACATTTGCCAAGAGCAGTTATTAAGGTCACACTGAAGTCATATATATTTCAATATAATTATTTGTTGATTTTGAAGTTAGGCAAATTAGCCAATCGGATRCAAACTCACTGACAAAAAGGTAAAGGTAAAAKTAYCTATATYTAACGTCGGTAGTTCCTTCAGTTGAAATTCAACTGCTATCAATGGAAGCCGACGGTGCGCACTTTACCCTCTCTGTCCATCAGTGCTCTGTTTTAAGAGTATTCAAAGCTGAAGCTACACAGATTAGAGAGAAGTCTTAACAGATGTGGAGATCATGAGGATCGAACTGTGAACCTCAAGCTCCAAAAAGCCTTAAACTAACCAACTGAGCTTCGCCTGCTCCTTTAGACACAAAACATAATAGCTTCCATTCTAATGAGTCGATTTATGGACAATAATAMTTATCGCATTCAATCAACTATGGCATACACTGTTTTAATTACTAACCTTATTATAACTACCTGTTCACAGCTAAAATTTCTCTGSTAATTCAGCGAATCTAAATTCCTGTCATAAATGTTTAGTGATGGCTGGATGGAAGTTGCTCTTATTGGCATCAGATGCAAGGAGCGGTAGAACAGGATGCCCATCTTGTTCGTCGATGTGTTTGAGGGGGGCGAAGGCAGAGTAAGGTAAGTCACAGTGGGGTTTGTTAATTGCTGGATAGTACTGACGATAGCATATTACAGCAATACCAATACCTATGTGTAACACAAATGATATTATCATTGGATCGTTCATTAGAATATTAATAAAAAATATATATAGTAATGAAATAATAATTTTTTTCAAGGTGCTGTGAGGAAACATCAAAAGCCTGTTACATATCAAAAAATAGTTTTTAAGGTGATGTAGCACAGTGCAATTTCGTCCTCAAACCTGTTCTTAAGGAGGCTGGAAAGTGTTTTGTGCCTTCACATACACTCACAATAATTTATTATGAACTAAAAARAATTAATATGGCTATAATTTGACAGCAAGTAAACCAGGAAAGGCAAAGACCATAAACCAAAGATCACAATGAACATGAAAAAAATGATGTAAGATGTTGCTATGACAACATCAGAACCCTTGGTATGCCATCAAAAATGTTCATTTAAAAAATCTTAACTCAGGAACCAAATGGTGAATTTCTTTAAAAACTGGAATATTTAAACTTTGTATTGTAATCTTTTTAACAAAAAAAGAAAAAATTCTGTAAGAGGGAATTCGTAAAAATTCTTAAAATTTGTTTGAAATAGTTTCCTCTTACAGAATTGAAAAAATTTTCCTTAAGTTTTTGAAAACATAAACTAAAGCTCTAAGCAAAATTTGAAGTTTGAACATTAAAATTTATGAGTACAAAAAATTTCCTTTTGCAAGTTCTACGTTGTCAGGTTTCATTAAAAAAGGTTATCAGAAGAAAAAAATGAATTGAGAAAGTCGTTTATAGAGCCTAGTACGAATAACTCACCTAGAAAAGAACCAATTGTGATGTCTGAAAGAAAAAAGTAAAATATTAATATTGCTAAGCTTACAAGAACAAGAAACTTGGAGAAAAAAGTGATTAAAAAATGAGGATCCAAAATTCTTGACATGATAACTAAGCTATTTTATTTTTATTTTCATCTCTGCCTGGCTATCAATTATTATAGGAGAGATGAGGTAGTAAGCTGTGTGGGATGGATTCTACATGTACCAGCTAACTAGATACACTGTGCTGACGAGGCCCAATACAGGCCGAAACAGCTGTCCATGGTTTCTAGTTGAGCTGGCTCATTTAATTTACATGACTTGAAGTTGTGAAAGGCCCATAGGCCCTATTTTTCAGCCRYTTTACACAAGGCTYGTAATTTACCTATTAYGCATGTTTTTATAATTAATTATTAYATATAAGGCTTGAGAAGTAATACTGACATCGATTAGCTGGCTATTTTGTTTGTTTTGGAGACTCATRCCAAATGCAAAATTATCAATGAAAGTAAAATTTCATAGAACAAATGAATATAAAATGGCCATTTGTACACTCTAGGATCTGTCAAGCACTCAACTACAACCCTTATGTTCCTTAGCTTAATTGCTTCCCTGACATGTTGTACAGCTTCCAGTGTGTTTATATTACAGCACAGAGACTTGCACATACATCTTATTTTGCTTCATAAAATATTTAATGCCCAAGCTGATTGGCTGGCTACTGTGTTTATATCATATAGGACAGTGACATGCTTGCACAAAATAATTGTTAAAAAATATTTTATAAAAGCAATAAAAAATGCCAGCCTATGTCTCTGTACTGTGAGACAAACACTATGTGAGCTGTAAAGCACTCAAGAAGCAAGAGAAACTCTTGGCTATGCCTCGTATTCCTAAGCTTGCTTCTCTCGAGCTCTACAGTACCCTGCGTGTTTATATCACAGTACAGAGACATGTGAACGCATTTTATATYCCTTTTAATATTTCACTATAAATATAGACCTCTTCGGCTTGGGGTAATGTTTTCCMATTTCAGACCACGTGTCATTCCCTTGAGAATAAGATTCTTTGTTTGAGCTGTATCCATATTCATGTGTCTTCTCATGTGCAACTGCGCTCAAACCTTAAACAAAGAAATGATACTCTGGGAATGACATGTGGTCTGAAATGGGAAAATATTACGTCAGAGCCGAAGAGGTCTGTTACCTTGCCAGTGGTGTTTATAATCTGAATATCTTGTCAGTGCAATGGCTAATGCACTTAGAAAAGGTGTAAGCGAAACACAAAGCCTCCATCCTTGACCTCTGCCATGACCATGGAAACAATGAAGCTTGCCACATAAATACAGAGATAAGTAGGCCAGCCCACTGAATGCCCCTGAAAAGAAGGAAATATAACAAATAATCATTTATACCACAAATGTAAATTTTCTTGCTTTATGATAGGTTGCRAGCCATGGTAAATAAGACACACTATGGCTACATACTCAGCTATGTCTTGTGAGTACATCATGGTAAATAAGAGGACATAACATGCAAAATCTCCAGAAGTTTGTTAAATCTTATTAATTAGATAGTATGCATAGAAGAACTTTGATGTATTAGAGAAATGAGAATGGTTGCTGCTGCTATCTGTACATGTGTAACAGGGGGGGGACGACTCTCTTTAAAAGTGGGTAGGGGGGCTCGACGGACGGTTTTAAAAATGACCCTAAAAGGTATGTATAAATTAACTGAGATACTGATTTCAGACCTTAAAAGGTACAACCACATTGAAAACGACAACGTTTCCAACCATTATATTCTCGTATAACGTTTGATATTTTTCAAAATGAACAAATCTGACCCTAAAAGGTCAGCTGGGAGTCAGCTGGAGACCCTAAAAGGTACGCGAGGTCTCATTCCCAACCATAAAAGGTCTGTTGAGCCCCCCTACCCACTTTTYGAGAGAGTCCCCCCCCGGGACATGTGTAGACTTAGCAAGGAAGTGTAATAAATCCAAAATTGAAAACTATGATAAGGCCTGGTTGTACAAAGGGTGAATAGCGCTATCAAAAGGATAAATCCTTATCAAGTGGATAGTTGATGCAGAGTTACAGCTGTATATAACATATTTATCCACTGGATAAGATTTATCCATCGTATAGCACTATTTACTCTTTGTAGAGCTGGGCCAAGATCTTTTTTCCGTTTAACATAACAATGAAAGCTTATTCAATTATTTATAAGATGAGACCCAAACAATTAGGAAGTATTGTTTCCCCATTTCACACCACATACAATTGTCATTCCCTTGAGAATAAGGTAATTTAATTGAGCTTCATCCAACTCAAGCATTAATAACTATTAAACAAAGAAATAGGAACCTTAAAGAACCAAAAAGATTGATTCGAGGATGGCTACGCCAGGATATTGACATGTGTATCAAGGGAGGATCCAGGGGGGAGGGGGGCAAAGGTGGGCTGAAGCCCCCCTTCAGCAGAAAAACAAAACAAAACAGAACTGAAGAATAAGATGCTTTTTTTATTGTTTTCCGTTGTGTTGACGGAAGAAACTCAATTAGCACCCCCCCTAAACTCAATTAGCCCCCCCTAAAATTTTGGCTGGATCCACCCTTGGATATTGACACATGCTGTTGTCCTTGTTGTTACTGTCAGTTGGTGCAAAGAGAATAGTAACACCATGTACAACAGTTTACACAGGAGAAATTTGCTCAAATCATCTTCCCTAGGTCGCCATCCTCAACGCTTGTTGATTCCTAAAAGTCCCTAATATTTGAGGGAATTGTGCATTAGATCTATTGAATTCCAACTAACATGAAGAATGTCCACTTGGAAAGCTCTTTCTTCCTTCCAGAATAACATCTGGGTCACCATCACACTGCAAGTCTTTGGTTGGTACTCCATTAGGATAGCATCTCCAAAAATAATCTGGTCTTGGTCTAGAATGAATGAAGGAAGAAAAATAACTTCCAGTAAACTGTGCATGCGCCAAGAAATGGATTATGCCAGACTCCTCATTCTTCAAGTGAGACCAAAAGAAGTGCATGCTCTGGGTACCAGATTTTGAAAAATTTTGGAAAAGAATCACTAGTTATGAATATGAAATAAAAATCATGGGGTAAAATCTGCAAATTCGGTGTAGAAAAATGTCTACRATCCATAGGATCCAGCCAACCGAAGTCCAGTCCATTCCATCTACCCACGGTTCCTGATTTTCCAAAACTAAAAAACACTCAAAATTTGAGTAATTAGAAGAGGAAAACAAGTTTTAGAAGTTGGGCATGTTTTTACYATACATTAAGATTATTCATGGCCATTCAAAAGGTGAAAATTCAAAAATATATTTTTTTGTGAATCAAGATCCAGAGAAAAATTRGTTGTAAAAATCTGTATCGATCGACAGATTCACCTATAGGCACATTATGCATACAGTCCTTTGAAAACCTTTGCTGATGACTGGCTTTGACAGCAGGAGTTAAACCAGTGCCATRATCAAAAAAATTAAAAAAAAATTTTTTTGTTGCATTTTTTGCACAATTTCAAACTAGAATCACTAGTTTTGAATATAAAATTAAAGACCATGAGTTAAACCTCAAATTTGGCTTWAAAAAACGTCTATGATCCGTACAATACAGCCAACCGAAGTCCAGTCCATTCCATCTACAAAATTGAAAAACGCTAAAAATTTGAGCATTTAGAAGAGGAAAATAAAATTTAGAAGTTGGGCATGTTTTTTTTATACATTAAGATTATCCATGGCCTTTCAAAAGGTGAAAATTCAAAAATACATTTTTTGTGAATCAAGATCCAGTCACTGACTGAGGCCTAGTCACTTGCAATCCATTTTAGTCACAACCAATTTATCTCAGTAGCATCTTAATGGAGAAAAATTAGATTCCTAGAGGAATGGTTATTATAGAAGTAGGGATTATAATCTATGATACTGACTTACAGCATGTACACCTCACAACATGGACTAACATTGAAATGGCTTCTAGCCATAAAAATGGTTTCATTTGAGTGTGAAACTTCAGTCAGTGCTACTGACTTATTGCTTACTATCAATCACGTGACTTTTTGGAGTTGACTGGGGGACAAACAAGCAGTTGACTGGGGGGCAACTAGYGGATGCCCAGTCATACCTCATTTCTGGCTCAACATTACTGGTCAAAAGAACCTACAAGGCAAAGATTTGACCTGACAAGTTTCAGTTCTGGCCGGACATTGTCTGAGGACCTGCCATTATTTATTGCCCTAGTGGTATACACCTAATTGAAAAAACSTAGTCGGGTTCAGGAAGGTCATATCATCGAAGCTAGAACCGAAAAGGATTTTGGGTACTCCAAAATGTGTATTATATTTGCATATAGACATGTAAAAATGCACAGTAGAGCAACCTAGATTAACAACATGCCAAAGCCATGATGCATAAAATGTGCACAGGAAGGGAAAACTGCAATACGCATGAAATTTGCATAATTGTTTGTCTTCCCATGCTCCCCTTCGGTCTTAGCTTTGATGATATGACCTTTTTTTGAACCCGACAACGATTTCTGAAAAAGGTGTATACACCAGTGTAGCCACATAACATACCTTCCAACCATGATCTTCGTAGTGTTTGTTATCACTCCATTTAGTGCAAGGCTTAAAGACAGACCTTGGAAAAAAACTTAAATTAATATGCAAATATGTTCAGTATTACAGTAATTATAAATTATGTCACCAACAATGTTTTTTTAAATGCTCTTAACGTCATTCTAGAATTAGGTTAACCAGTCACCTATAGCTCTGAATACTACTCCAAGTTGGGAACCCTGTGGTATAGTATTGAAGAGAATAGAATAGATCTCAAGCATGATGACGTTTTATACCTACACTTCCAGAATCCTATTTCAGTAGGATTTTTTGTTATGCTAATTTTTGCTTATTTGAATATATRTAAAAAGGATTGTGGTATTTTTGATATTATGTTACGTCATTAGGGTCACAGCCATTCTCAATCACACACGCCCTCTAGCGATTGCTTCTGTCGTGACGCAGAAGGTTTTGGTGGACRTCAATCACATGGCGTTTCCATAACATTGTCGGAAAACACAAAGCTATAAAGGTATGTGCCTACAGAATGTCATGGAAACGCCTTGATTGATGTCCACCAAAAGCTTCTTCATCGCATACAGAAACAATCACTAGAGTGGCGCTTGTGATTGAGAATGGCTGTAAGGTCTATTTTTAATTCTTTTAAAATCCCGCCAACTTTTCCACAGGGAGCCCAAAATATTATTATAATATTATACACAGGAGGCCCAAAGATGAGTAGCCAGCAGAGTTCAAGTCTAGATAGTCCTCAAATAAATATTAAATGATTCCTCACCTAATAATGCTTCTCTTGCATCCACTTTATCCTTTCTCAGTGTTGTTAACACACATATTACAATGGTAGGTAAGATTATTGCAATACTCTGGAAAAACACATGAATTGGTAAGTTTTTTTTAGCATATTTTATATTACTTTCAAATAATTTTATTCTCTTGAACCAGACTTCATGCTTAGTATTGTATAGTTCAAAAAATTATCCATATCTCCCCCCCCCCCCCCC